AAGAAGAGCTGCAAGTGGAAAGTATTTGACATCTAATGTGAGCACTTAAAGCTGCTTTAGTTAACTATAAATGATGCAAAGTGAATACAATAAAGGAATTTGTAAAATAAGAGATCAAAGTATATTACATAGGTTCCTAGAATATAATACCATCTCAAATGCAGTAACAGATCATATTAAAGGTTTGAGGTTGTGCAGCATGAAGCTACTAGTCTGTCACTGGAGCTCAGACAACCTGACAATGGATTTAGTCTAAGGCACCTTTTGGTGGATAATTATGTGGCTATTTCTATTTCAACAGTAACTGCAAAGTACACACTACTACTTGAAGTATCCAATTTCCTTTCTCTTTTCAGATCATCCTTCACACTGGAGGGTCCGTATTTCTGTTGCATACCTGCATATCACTTACAAATGCATAAGAAAAGTCATAAGGACTTCTTCAGTGGTAATTTATTTTATGAAGTATATTCGCACTGGTCAGTTTCAAAGTAAACTAGTGTGGACTTTTCCAAATAAAATCAATGAAATGTTAGTTGCATGTGGAGGGGGAAATCCAAGTAAACCAAAAGGTGTTAAATTACTCCATTGAGAAATAACTAGAAATTTAAGGTAATGTATATCCCAAACAATTGAAATACAACTCACAGAAAGATAAATATTCATTTCAATCTCTTGTTGGCCAGTAGACAAAAGAATTAAAGTTAAATGTGTTGGAGGACCAAGATATCTTGAGCAAAATAAATTTTCCTTTGATTACATATGCAGAATTATTGCATCAATTTTTTTTACCCAGAAAGTATTATTCATTCAGAAAAATATTATGGATGTAGATAATCTTCAGAATCCCTGGACAGAGTTTCTGCCTATGACATTTGCTGGTGCATAAAAGATTGATGTCCTTCCAGCTTCTTTGGAAGGATCCCATTTTTAAGAGGATGCCATTCACTCAAAATGCCCAACTGCCTAAGACTCATTACCATGGCAAAATATAAAGAAAGATTTTGAGGTAGTCAAAAGTGTCAGTCAATGCTGATTGGGCAGCATCAATGTTGACAACTCTGGCATTTGGGCAAGGACACATTTCTGAGGCAGAGTCTCTAATGGCCATAGATAGTGATAAAGGAACATAATTTTGAGCAGTACCAGACTTGTTGTTGGGGTTTGTGCTCTGTCCAATATCAGTAATATTGAATAATTTTTAAAAAAGTGTGCCTGTGATCTCCATGGAAACAATGTAAACATTAAAGTTACTAATGCAGATCTATTAATTCACACTGAGGCTAGTCAAATCAACTCAAATTCGTACAAAGTCTGGTTACTGAGAGGAACTCTTTCAATTTGTTAGTTTGATTGACATTGAGAGGATTACAACAGTGCCATGAGAAGCAGCGGCTCTCTTGGTTTCAACTAGTATTGAAACTTGACAGCAAAAACTGTAAATCGGGTGCAATCACGTTGCCCATTCCTAGTTATATCAGGTGATCTGTCATTTGTTTCACCAAAGGACTTAATGCTGATTTTGTCCCTGTGATGCCCTCTAAATTTAGTATTTCATTCTTTCTTTGCTGGTTTAACTTACGACTCAATATTTCTAATTTGTGCTTCAAGCCAATCTGTCAAGTATAATATTTTGACATTGAATCGCTCATAATGTACTCTTTCAAAATGTACATTCTTTGAAATCTATGCTGTGACAAATTCTAGAATCTGGCTACAAGTGAGATTGAGCACTGTTTCAATAAACTATTAAATACTGTAGTACCAGAGATTTACATAAAACTCCTCCCCTTGAAGCACTTGAAACAAAAAAAAATCGGCAACATAAAAAGAGTTCTTGCTATTTTATTGCTGTTTTATTGAATTGCTGTTACATGACTGATTTCACCACCTTCCATTATCACAATGGGGTTTTTCTCAATTTGATTGGCCAATCACTGTGGTTGGAGGCTCTTTCTTGTGAATGCCAATGGTCATTTTGATATGGGATTAAAGGAATTTAAATACTTAGTCAATATGGGAGTTTTTTTTTTGAAATACTGAATTCTTCAATAGGCACTTAAGATCTTTTCTTTATATATTAGCGTGGGCCCCCAGTCTGCCTTTGGTGTTATTACCGTGTTGGCATTGTAGGTGTAAAGACAAAGGATGGTGGGTGAGGGGGTATAAGTTGACACTAAGTTGGCACAGGGGCTAGCAGAGGGGTATAGATTGGCTTGGAGGGTATGAGGATATAGGATGGCATGAAGTGTATGTAAGGTCGGGGTGATAGGGTGTGAGGTCTGGAGGGATTTTAATGTTACGATTTGTGGAAAAAAAATGTTGATGAAGCGTTGATACTCTGTGTCCTTCCACCTATCCAGCCTGCGTTCACACCTGGCAATCTCTGCATTGTTTCTGGTGCCACCCACCATGACTATAAGAATCCTGAGCTCTTCCTAGAATATAAATTACAACTTCTAGGATACATTCCCCTAAGTCATGTTTGCAGAGCCATGGTATGTCCCAACTGTGCATTTCCTAACCTGGGAGCAAAATGTCAGGTCATTATGTCAAACTGAGATCATTGTTAAAGTCCCTGTAAGATGTCAAATGGGTAAAATAAAGTTTACAGTTTCTGAAAATTTCAGTAGATTCATCCCATTGTGAGTTTTGTAAGTCACAATTATGCCAAATTTAATCCCTGAATTTTGCTGTCTAATCAACATCAATGTATCAATGGGAGCAAAGGGATTTTCAAACTGGCCTTAACATCCACAGGTTTGAGGACAATTAGTTTGAAACTATGATCCTAATCAATATTCAGATATTGCTTGTGGAAAGTACTCCGATGGATATTTGGAAATTGTGTCATTTTGGGCTTGTTTACACGTCTATTATCTATAAATGGGAAATAGAGTAACCCTGTATCATTCTCCGTCCCCTACCATAGTATGGATGCAATGTTCCATTAATATATTGCATACATCTGATGTTCCATTCATTTCAAATTTGCTAACTTTACAAAACTTAGAACAGAAAAAAATATCTACATTACTTTTGATTCCAATTTATTTAAATTTAACAATTTTTAGCTATTCCAAATTAACTAATTTTAAATGTTATAATATGAAGTAGACAAAAACACTTTAACATTTTTAAAAAAATGTAATGGGTTCTTCCAATTATTTGGGTTTCAACATGTTTTATATACTTTTTCCTTGTGTCTCCTCCTACCACAATAAATGATACAAAATACAATGGCTAAAAAGAAGTTTTCAATTACAAATTTTAACTGTATGCAAAATAAGATGGGGCAATTATTGAAAATTAAATTATGCATTTTACTTGGATTTCAATTCCTAGCATCAAATGTTGAAGTGAAACAGCATTTGTTACTTTCCCTTGGAGATGAGCTTTGAGAAATCCAAAGAGATCTGTCCAATGAGCTGACTGTGATTAACATAGATTCAGTTGGGGCAGTTCAATCTGTCACACAATCACCCCTACATGGAGACCAGCTGGTTGAAATTTCTATAGAAGCTTCTCAGAAAATTGCAATTGCCTACCATCTCTTGCTTACTCCTTAGAAACTAAAACAAATGTTTAAATATGTTATACCAAGGTGTAGAGCTGGATGAACACAGCAGGCCAAGCAGCAGAG